TAGGTGTTTCTTAGATGCTCTTCTGGTTGGGAAAGTTCCCTTCACCCAGTGCTAGGTGTTTCTTAGATGCTCTTCTGGTTGGGAAAGTTCCCTTCTAATGCTTATTAATGAGCTTTTATCTTGCTGCATTTTGTTCAATGCTTCTGCATTTATTCGGTCCACTATATATTTTTTCTCCTTTTTTGTTAAAATGGTCAATTACATGAATGTTTTTTTCTAATGTTAAGCTAAGCATGCATTGATTATGATGTATTACTCTTCTTATATGTTGATATTGAACTTGCTAACATTTTCTTAGGGATGTTGGTTGATGGACTTAGGTTTCTTTAGATAGGTTTCCCTATTTAGCCCAGGCCAGTCTAGAACTTTGGATCCTCCTGCCTCTGTCTCGCAAGTGATGCCCCGTCAGGATGCTGATTTCTAACCAAATGACTTTGGTTTTGGTATGAGGGTAATTCTAATTTTATGTGTGTTGGAAGGCATTTCCCTCCTCCGTTCTCTTTAAGCTTGATTATGACTTCAAATCAGTGAAGACATGAGCATGGACAATGCGGTGTTGGAGGGCGTTGGCAGAGAGTGAGCGCGCCCGTGAGCCCTGGTCATCCAGACCAGACATGAAGCATGGTGGAAGTGACAGGAAAGCCTTTTAAGAAAGGAATATGTTGACAGCACCTAAGACCCCAGACCCAAACGCCAGGAGTTCCACATGTCAGGTTCAGCCCCTCACCCCTATATGCCAAAGAGACAGGGTAAAGGGCCGAGAAAGAATGCTTTATGTGGATCGGACATGCTACAGAAGAGATGCATTTTAGTTCTTCCTCTTCAGCATCTTCAGGGTACGAGGAACTGGGCACAGGTGGGGAGTATTCATGTTAAACAGTCCAGGTTGCAGGTGTAGTCTTCCCCGGGTGTGCCCTATCCTTGCAGGGATTGTCCTCAGATGGGGGAGAGTCTGTGCTGCAAGGCTTTGCTGTCCCTTGGGCGGGGGGGGGGGGTTCCCTTATTGATTCCAAGGTGGCCGAAGGGACTGTGGACAGAATAACTTAGAATAAAAGACAAAGTACAAAATGGAGGCAGGGAAGGCAAGCTTTTCACCTGTTTTTAGTTAATTTATGGGTCCAAGACTATACCGTATATGCTTTTCAGCACCAAGTTTAAGTGTCCTTAAATATGTGCTATGTAACACTTTCAGCAGACTGTAGAGTGCACACAGCATTCACATTTGGGGTTTGAGTTCATACGGAGATTGCCTGTGGGGGAAATTCCTGTCCCCAGCTTCAGCTCCATGGGGCTGAGGTCACAGGGGGCCCAGGACATTAGTTATGGTACAGGGCTTCTTCAGACCTCCACCGTCACCACATAGGTCTCTCTGCTGTCATTTTAGAGGCTGTGAAGAACGTTCCATTTCGCTTTTCTTGCACATCCCATTGCTCATGTGGTCTCTATCCACTTCAGAAGAACCAGTTTTGCATTGCTTTTTCTCTTCTATTAATGTTCATCCTTGCTGGTCTTTTTGGGGGGATGGGGACATGTTTTAATAAAGTCATTACCTTGAATATCCTTGAGGACAAGATTTTTAAGTCCACATTTTTTAAGGAGTGAGCACTTTATTATTTATCCTTATGGTGCTGGGAATCAAACCCAGGGCCTTCAGAGCTCTACCACTGAGCTACATGCACTTCCATCTCTGCTGTTATTTTCATTCGGCCTCCTTTGCACTTAATAGTTCTTACTAGAAAAGTAACTCTTCCTCATACATTGAGAAACATTTTTAATTGCTGCAGACACCTCTGTAATTTCTCTGCTATCCTGTATCTGGAAGATGTACCACATATTTACAGATTCCTTTATTTTTGGTGGCGTGAACTCAGGGCCTGGGCGCTGTCCAAGCTCTTTTGCTCAAGGCTAGCACTCTCCCACTTTAGCCAACAGCTCCACTTCCGGCTTTTTTGGTGGTTAACAGGTGGTAAGTCTCATGGGCTTTACTGCCTGGGCTGGCTTTGAACCTCGATCCTGAAATCTCAGCCTCCTGAGTAGTTAGGATTACAGGCATGAGCTACTGGTTCCTCGCTAGATACTACTATTAACCTACCTCCTGCTGTTGACACAGGTGGAGTTTGTCATCTGTCTTAGTTCTGCTGCACTAAAGGTGGAAGCCAGGACTCGCATGCTCAGCAGCATTCTACCTTGAGCTACATTTCTTCAATCTTCTTCCTTCCATCTTTTCCTCTCTATTTTCTCCTATCTGCTTTCAAAATACCTGAGCCTCAACTGTGGCTCCTTTTCCTCCCTTTATTTGGGTGGGGAGGCTGCTAGGTACTAAGCCTGCAGCCTTGTACATCCTTCACCTACTTACCACTTAAGGTTTGCAGGAATCCGAGCTCAGTCCTTCCTTCCCTCCCTCCCTCCCTCCCTCTCTCTCCAGCTGCCATGCCTGAAGGCACAGCTACAAAGCTCCGTCCCCATTGTTTTCAGCTAAACTGCCAGTTTGAAGTTTCTGAGCTTCAGAGAAAGCTGCCATCTGGACAGAAAGGTGTGGAGATGGCTAGGCTAAGGCACGGCCTGGGGATGTCACTGCCTGCAGGAGATCAGGACAGGGAAGGGGGGCCATGGTGGTGGCCCTGAGCACTGACACTCATATTTCAGGCATGGGTCTTGGCTCCAGCAGTATGCCTTTTCTCTTTGACAAGTTAATATAGAAGTTTTATATGTGTATATATACACACACACATACATACATATGTACATATGTATAGCATGTAACATTTGGGCTGAAAGACCTCCAAGTTCTGCACCATCTGGGTCTCAAAAAATGATCAAAGTAGATCCATTCTTAGTGGATCTATACTTTCTACTGACGTTTCATTACTTGGGAGGAGTACTTGCTGTGTAATGTGCTCACATAAACAGCATCAAGATAACATCCGCTCTTCACTCTTTGCAGGAATGGAAGATGGAAGTGGCGTTTTATCCCACAGATTTCAGTAGGTCTTCTTGAAACTTAACTATGCCAGCCCTTTCCTCAGAGAACACTCCTCAGTACCAGCTACATGCACCAAATCGACCCCTAGATGTTGACTGTATGCTGTTCTTGATCATACTTGGGAAAATACTATTAAATATCCTCACGCTAGGAATGAGAAGAAAAACCACCAACCAAAATTTTATGGACTATTTTTGCATTTCGCTAGCACTCATCGATCTTTTTCTTTTAGTAAACATTTCCATTATATCCTACTTCAGGGATTTTGTAATTTTAGGCATTAGGTTTACTAGATACCACATCTGCCTGTTGACTCAGCTTGCTTCCCTCATTTATGGCTTTTTGCATTATCCAGTTTTCCTAATAGCATATATAGATTATTGCTTGAGTTTCTCTAAGATCGCCAAACTATCATCCAAGTGTCAAAGGTTATTTTATTTGTCTGTAGTAAGTTTAATTTGGATTTCAGTCCTGGCTTACATTCTGGGAGATCCAACTATCTACCAAAGCCTGGAGGCACATGGAGTCTCTTACCAGTGTCCGTCCTATGTCAGCTCTCAGAGTTACTGGCTTTCCGTGTCTATGATGATGGTTTTAGCTGGGGCGTTTATAACCTCTTGGTCAGAAGTCCTGACCTTGATTCAGGCTGTGAGAATAACTTCCTATATGAACGAGACCATCCTGTATTTCCCCTTTTCCCCACACTGTAGCTACACTGGGAACGCTAAAAAGACTCTTGCATCCAAGCTCACTGTCTGCTTCCTTGGAACCTGGTTGCCATTTGTGCTGCTTCAGGCGGTCATGCTCTTCCTCAGTGTGCAGATGCCCGCGTACATTGAGATGAACATCCCTTGGCTGTACTTTGTCAATAGTTTTCTCATTGCTATAGTTTGTTGGTTTAATTGTCATAAAGTTTATTTAAAAGATTCTGTATTTCCTGTGGATCCCTTTGTCAACTGGAAATGCTGCTTCATCCCACTTATGATTCATCATCTTGAACAAACTGAAAAGCCTATATCAGTAATAATTTGTTAGTGTTGCCATGCTAAAACTAATACAAATCCTAGTTTACAAACTGGAAAGAATGACCGCTCAGGCCAGAACCCTAATGGAAGCTTATTCCCTAACTTTTCCATCTCTTCAGCACGTGCCTTTGGGGCTTTATTATTTACTGGGTAGTCTTGAAATTTTTATGCTTCTTCAGGAACACTGTGTAAATAAATATTTGTTATTAATACAGAAAATAAACAAGTTAACATTTGGCTATACTGATGTTTGCTTTACCCTCAAATGATGCAAAATGTCATATAAATTGCCAACTTTAAGACATGAATTTAAATGTTTTATCAAATTTAGAACAAGAAAATCAAGACTTTTCCTAAAATGGTTTGATATAAATTTTAAGGGGAAGATTAGATCATTTTAAATTTAGATAATTAAAAATTTTTTTAATGTTTTTTTGTTTTATTGGTGGTACTGGAGTTAGACCTTCAGGCCTCCTGTTTGGCAGTATGTGTGTGTGTGTACACACACACACACACACACATATAAAAACACATGCTTAAATGTGTATCATTAGTGCTTATCCTTACATGTTATATTCATTATTTAATATCTTTTTAAAAACATGCTAGTTTTGTGGCTAAAGTTCCTACTCCATAGATGGGCTCTTTTTTTTTGTCGGTTTTGGGGCTTGAACTCTGGGCCTGGGCACTATCCCTCAGCTCTTCAGCTCGAGGTGAACGCTTCACCTCTTGAGCCATAGCACCGCTTCTGAGTTTTCTGAGTTGTTTATTGGGATAAGAGTCTCACAGGCTTTCCTGCCTGAGTTGGCTTTGTACTGCAATCCTCAGATCTCAGCCTCCTGAGTAGCTAGGGTTACAGACTTGAGCCACCAGTGCCTGGCTCTATCATTTTTTAAATGTCCAAAAACAAGTGTGAGATCCGAAGATCAGAGTGGTGAAGCCAGCCTGGGCAGGAAAGTCCATCAGATGCCTATCTCTAGCAAAAAGCCAGAAGTAGAGGTATGGCTCAAGTGGGAGAGCACAAGCCTCAAGCAAAAGAAGCTTCAGAGACAGTCCAGGCAGCCCTGAACTCAAGCCCCATAACTGGCACACACACAAACAAAAAACGAGTCTGTAAGCCTTTATGGGAGCCCAAGAGGGTTTTAGCTGGGTGGGGGGGAGGAGGAGGGATTGGGGGGGGGGGAAGAAATGTTGCTGGAAATGGGAAATCTTCTGCTTTGTAAGGACAGGCAGAGCATATGCCTAGCCTGAAACTACATAAAAAGTGCTGGCACTCCAAAAGTTTCAGATTTGGGAGCATATTGAATTTTGGGCTTAGACATACACAATTGGTAAAATCTATACAAATAATCCTAAAAATTCCCAAACATTCTGAAATGATGGGCATGGTGGTACACTTCTGTAATCCCAGCAACATGGAAGGTGTATATCGAAGAAATGTGGTCCAAGGCTGGCCCCAAGCAAAAACTCAAAAAGACTGCTTGGAAACAAAAAAGGACTGGGAGTGTATGGCTCAAGCAACAGAATACCTGGCTGGTAAGCAGTAGGCAGGCCCTGAGTTCAAACAATTAAAAACAAAATTGAGAATAGAAATCACAATCACATTGCTTCATTTTAAAATACAGAGATCCAACTGTACCTGGAGCTCAGGAGGAATAACACGTATACTGAGAGTAGTCAGTCCTGCGTGGCCAAAGAAGGTTCTTTCACATCACTGGGACTGCACCCCTGGAACACATGGCCTTCCAACTGGCCATAAGCGAGGAAGTACACTAATTCAGTCTGTATATTTTAAATCAGTTCAAACCCCTTGTAAAGCTTTCTGTTGGTTTACATACATCTCCCGTGTCTCATAAGCTTAAAGGAAAAAAAAAAAAACAACCAATAACCAGCCAAAATAAAAGCCAGGCTTTTATTTGTAAAGAAATGAACTTACAACTGGTCTACAATATATTATTGTATATAAACAATATAAATAGATGATCCTGTAGGCCCACTGATCCATCCAGACCCACATGAAGCAATGCTCCAAAAATCTCTATGTGACAGTGTGCGGGTAGCGAAGGTGCAATTACAAGCAAGAGTAAGCAGCAGAGTATAAGGTGCTTTCAGGTTGTAGTGTTTTTTTTGCCGTCGGCAAACTTGGATGCCCAATTTTAGTTCACTGAACAGACACGACGTATAGGAAAAGCTATCAGTCATACACATGCTACTTGTTATGAAAGTGCTTTCTCTTTTATAAAAAAATACACCAAATGAACACTTTGTACATAGCTTGTGATGTGCTCTCATAATGCAAAATTAACTTTGTTTTCAGGTTATACACTCTGAAATGGCAGCTAGGACACCCGTCTAGGACGCTAATGCCGAGAGGGTAAAGGACCTCATTTTTAGCAGGACTCTGGACAGGACTCTCCCTTCCTGTCGGGGATGCTTGCTCTACCCTCTGAGGTTTTCCAATAGTCTTAATTTAGATCCATGGAGGAATCAAGGAGAGGAATTTTTTTTTTTTAAGAATGTGCTTAAAGCCTAACATCTTTTAATAAGGGCATCACAACATTTTGCTAAATCAACCAAGTCTTAAGCAGAAAGACAAAAAGTGCTAATTTAATCAAGAGGCTCGAGGAGCTGTCCCACTACCGTGGGTGTCAGCCCTGTACCCGCTGTCTACACGCCCAGCCACACGGCACGCAAGGGCCTCCCAGGAGGCTCAGGGGCCGTGTTCCTGGAAAAGGCAAAGACTAACCTTTCCCAGGAGGAGATTGGGGGCTCTTATTAAACAACTTGAAAATAATATATCCAAAATTATAACATCTTTGCACATGAAATTTTAAGAATACATATACAAAGTATTTATGCAATAGATATTTTAACAGCATAAAATATTTGAAAAATTAGGTATATTTTAAAAATTACAACACTTTAAAAGTAATTTTACACTAACCATGGAACAACCCAGACTATCTGGACACTTAAAGACAATATTGTTGCTTTCTCTGATCAGTTTGAGTGTAATGTACATTGTAATCCAACACTGGGTATTTTCCTGCTTTAGAAATTGCAACTACAATATATAAAGGTTTTTAAAATACTATGTATTTTCAATTTGTATTCTTACGGAGAATTTTCTATCATCTGACAGTAAAGTTACAGTGACACATTCTGATTCCCAAAATGATGAAAGAATTTTACCCTATTAATAACTTTTTTCCATTCAGTTTCTATTCTTCATTCAAGCTGGGAAGTATTTTTAACATTTGTTTTTCTTGAGCAGGCACAGTAAGCTTTTTGGTGGTAGTGGTGCCATGGATGGAGCCCCGGGTGCTGTGCTTCTGGGCTCTACAGACATGAAACTATACATCCACCCTGGCTGTTGTCAGAAGATCTCACTATGTAGCCCCAGGCTGGCCTGGATTTCAACAGCCTCCTGCCTCTACCTCCTAAATTGCTGGGATTATATGTGTGTGCCACCATATCCAGCAACATAAATACTTCCTATTACTGACCCTTCCATATAATTTACAAGGTAGCTATCTGTAATAACCCTTAAATTTGTATCACATATTATTATTCTGGCTTTTAAGTCTGATCTTTCAGATTTTTTTCCACTTTTGGAAAACAGCTACAGCTCCACTGCTGTGGCTAGATATGAAGATCTGTAGAGAAAACACACACCACCATTAGCCTGTTTCCTGCCACACACCACGTATGGCATCAATGCCAACACCACCTATCCCACTCGTCTCAAGTCAAGCACTCTTAATTTTGTAAGCTATCAGGTTGTCACTGGGCATGAAGTGTGCTGGAGCAGCACTGTATCGTGCACACTCCTTAGAAGTCATCTAGCCTAACCCTGGCCATGCGTACAAGTCTCCCTTTTGGCACCAAGTGTATGGTGAGTACGTTAAGTTAGTAACTCCATTGAGATTTGACTTCCTACTATCTTAGGCATTTCTCCCACTTACACATGTTCAGAAGGTTTGCTAAATGAGTAAGTGCAATGAGTGACCACATTAATATGTATTCACATGTTCAGTGATGAGCCAATAGATAGCACTTAAGAAAAGGCCCTTGATAGCTTGACTATAGGTTTCCATCTTAGTCCTTGGGTGAACAAATACTGTAAATGAGCCAAGAAATCATTACCAAAAGCTCTTCAGTATAAAAAGAGAACTAGCTGGGCACTGGTGGTTCACACCTATAATCCTAATTACTTGGGAGACTAAAATAGGAAGATTATGGTTTCAAGGCCCAGCTGGGCAAAAAGTTTTCAAAGACCCCTTCTCAACTCATGGATGGGCACAGTGGCACGTACCTCTCATCCCCAGCTACACAGGCTGAGATCAGGAGGATCACAGTGCCGGGCCAACGAGGGCAGAAAAGCTGAGAAACATCGTGTCCATGGAGGGGAGGCTGAGACGTTTATGTCTGCAACCCCAATGAAGACAAGAAGCCTAGAGTAGGTGAATCACGGTTCAGACACACACCCAGGAGGAAAGCAAGTCCCTTTTCTAAAAATAACTCGTAAAAAATGGGTTGAACAAAAACACCAGGATTGGTTACCTGACAGTGGAAGATGGAATCAAGGGAAAGGGGTAGACGAACAGAGAAGAGGGCAGATGCAGATACACAATTAAATGCATTTCTACAACATTAAGAAGAGTGAGGGATGGGGCTGGGAAGGTGGCTCAGTGGTAGAGCGCTTGCCTTGCATGCTTGAGGCCCTGGGTTCGATTCCTCAGCACCACATAAGCAAAAAGAAAAAAGCCGGAAGTGGCTCTGTGGCTCAAGTGGTAGAGCGCTCGCCTTGAGCTGAAGAGCTGAGGGACAGCGCCCAGGCCCAGAGTTCAAGCCCCACGGCCGACAAAAAAAAAAAAAAAACTAATGACACATTTTATAAAATTCTAACAAAAGAGGGATACCTTCCCAAAGGTATTTTAAGATGTATAGCTTAAAGTATTAAAATTAAAAAAATAAAAAAAATTAAATTTTAACAGTTATATATTTTCTTTTCTTAATACTGTATTTGTGCTTATCTAATCAAATCCCCACTCTGTGATGAAAAGAAATGTTCTAAATGGATTTACAGAACATCAATACTGATGCAGTTCATATCGTGATTCATACTGATAACCTTATTCACAGAAATCCACACTAGTGACAAGAAATCTACAGCTTTTAGTCACCCAGTTCTTAAGACTGAAACACAACCCTATCAAGTAAAATACCATCCTAAAGTACCCTTCTTTATAATAATCTACAAGGCTAATTCAAGTGTGGAATTGGAAATTGGAAACTCCTCTGTAATTCTGGACACTCAATTATAAAAAAAAAAAGAAGTATTTGAATTTTTGACAAATATTCTCCAATTATAATACCTATAATATTCAAAAATCAAAACAAGCCAGGCACCACTGGCTCATGCCTATAATCCTAGCTACTCAAGTGGCTGACATCTGAGGATCACAGTTCAAAGCCAGCCCAGGCAGGGAAAGTCTGTGAGACTTTTGTCTCCAATTAACCACCAGAAAACCAGAAGTGGCACAGTGGTTCAAGTGATGGAGCCCACCCCTTGAACTAAAGAGCTCAGAGACAGCACTCAGGCCCAGAGTTCAAGCCCCTCGACTGACAAAAAAAAATAAAAATAAACCACTAACTTAGGTATCACTGGTACTATTGATATGAATGCATCTAAGGACGAGTTGATAAAGAGAAAGAAGAATAGGTCTGATTACAGGCAAATCTTATATACTAAAAATCACAGGGGCCCTGGGCTCAATGCACAGTATCTCCTCTTCCATTTAAGAAGGTAGTCTTATATTGCTGTGCTGGTAGTCCAATAGTTAATTTTTGGACTATTGATGAAGGCCATATCTACATTGAATGGCTTTACTTTATTGGCTGCAGTACCCTCTCTTCCTCCATATTCCTCTTTCACCACCACCCCAGAAGACAGTCTCTGGGCACAGCTGGTCATGTATATGTTGCCCAAAAAACAGACTCAGCAAGCAATTTGGATAGATGGGCAAGTTTCCACAACTCAAAGATTTCATTAGAACATGACTGAGGTAATCAGAAAAACCCACCCAAGTTGTGTCCCTCCCTAAAGTTAGCCCTGTTACCAACCCTCTAAAGGATTCCAGGCCAACGCCTTTCTAAGAAGCAAGTTTCTGTGCGGTTTTCAGGGCTAAAGGGGACTTTAGGGGAGGAAGTCAGGCGAGGCCTTTTCCTGCCATTAAGAAACACCCAGTGATAGTGGGCAGCAGGCGTCCTGCTGCTCATCAGGAGCAGGAAAGCCTTCAAGCCACAAAAGTAATCACAGCCTCTTCTGGTTGAAAACAGTGTTTCATCCACTGGATCTAGCTGTGTACAGCCAGGCAAACCTCAGACCATGAGTCCATCTCCTCCCCACACTGTCACCATGCAATAACTCTGCAAAGCCCTACAGAACACTGCAGAACACCTGAACACTGCCCTCAGGACAGTGAGACAGGGTGTGGCACGGGTTTCAACTTGACTACAACTTTACACTTAACATATGAAGATAAGCTATGTCAAAAACCACTACTTGTTCATACAGTTATGTTTCAATACACCAGGAAGTAAAAATATAAACAGTAGACTATAGCAAGAAAAACTGTTTCTATGTTAAACTAGGTAAAACATGAACCTAACTTGAAAAGTGCAGCCATCTGTTTAGTGTTGTGGTGAGTTAAACTCCCAAAGACAGGAGGAGAGGACTATTGCCTGCCACCTCTTCCCACCCTCCAGCGTGCTCACTGAGACCTCCTCTCCCATCCTACCCTCTCCATGCCTAGGCCTTTACATGTAACCTATGATTCCACAGCAAATAAAAGAATAGCATCAGAGCTAAGTGCCACTTGAAAGGTGACAGTTCTCATACTAGACCAACCTGCATAGCTTTGCTTACACATCTCTATACAAGGCTGAGGAATACTGTCATAGAAAAATAATTTTACAAACTGTATCTGTTTTCTAGGAACAAAGGCTTAAAACAAAACTTCAAAAGTATGTTTTCCTCCACAACAGGAAAAGAGTACAGTTTCAAGGCAGAAAATACAAATTTAAGTAACAAAAAGAACTTCATGTTTCCCACATATTATTCCTTGCCAAGTAAATCCCTAATTTCTTAGGAAAAAGGGCTGGAACTTCCTGCAAGCGGCACACCAAAAGTGCTTAAGGCTCAGGAGAGGTGGACAAGAGGTATGTTACTTCAGATGCTTAAATCATATGTGAAGGAAAAACTACTTCAATGGGGAACTACTCACTGCAAATGAATAATTTCCAAATCAAATAACTCACGTGAGAAAAGCGCATTTTCTGTTATGTTCAAAGTGGAGATATCAGAAAATCTGGACTCATTTCAAGATCTATAACTCTACTACACTCAAAAACCTGTCTGCATGCTGTAATACAGTGCCAGGTGCAGGCATTTTTTTTTGTGTAGTGAAGATGACTGACACCTGTGGAGGAAGTAAATAAAAGGATTTACTACACAGTTCAAAGAGAATACCTTAAAAGCTATAGATAAACTGGTTATGGGATATAAATAGTATTGCTAAGGGAGTCTAACCCCAAATAATAAGTTTTGTATTGACTGTGAAGTACTGTATGGATTGTGTAGTACCAAAGTTTTAAACCTAGGGGCAATTTTTCCTTTGTGCCTTCCTCTCATGGAACAAGACATTTCTTCTTACTGCTTAGTATATCTTCATGCTCTGAAATTGCAAGGTGAGGGAGAAAAGCATACAACTATCATGATGGTTAACTATTATTCATTAATAAATAAAAACTGATTGTAGACTACCTACCTTCCCTTGAAACTTTAAAATGTGATATAAAGAAATGCATATCATGGACTAGAAGCTACTGTAGATGTGGAACATGGGCCTTACATTATACATTCTAACTCTACACATAACTATTAGTAATCATCTTCATTTACAACTACTTACCCAAGGAATCTCACAAAGCATACATTCAAACAAGAGGCATCTAGAGATTAAAAAAATTACCCGCTATATTTTTATATAAAAATAACCAATATTTTCTAATGTACACAAAGCCAAAAGATAAATATCTGTCATGTCTTTAGTGACATCTTTAGTTTTCTACTAGCTCAACACAATCTTTTAAAGGAGCGGTGAAAATGACTGAAACTCACGGACTCTCTTTACCTTCACTTACTGAACTGTGTCTGCTTCTCTGTGCATGTTCATTCAGTTATTAAACTGCCTCAGTGATGTGATAAAGACATAGAAGTGATTAAACAAAACCTTTTATAATGTTCTCAAAGCTTTGATGAAGAGGACCATCAGGCTCTCAAGGTGCCCGCAGGAAATAATTCTGTAGAAAGTGAACTGGTGAAAAACTTTTGCTTTCAAAGTTTTAAAATTAGATTTGATCATTCAAAACTAATAAATTCATAAATGCTTTGCAGGAAGAATGCAAAGGATTTAGTAAGGAAAACAAGCATTCTAGCTAGAGTCAGTATGTTTACAATCACATCCCCACTATGCACAGCCCTTGTCAGGAGAGGTACCAGGTTCACAGTACAGTGCAGGGGAGCAGAGAGACCTGACAAGTAATTCATGTGAATCAATACTAGCTGAGAGCCAAATCATTTGCTTTTCATAATGAGCAATTTCATGGTTCTTTTCTATTATGCATAACCGAACTGGAAAAAATAACTAAGTCCAACATTAATGCTGCCTGACAATACTTCCATTGTATGTGTGTTCATTCTAACGCCCTGCCCCATGCTCGCAGTGTTTCTCTGTGAAAAAGAGCAACATTTGTCTCTCCAACCTCATCAGTTTTTCAGTCTTGGCACTACTGATTGTGAAGGACATTTTAAGCATTGTAGGGTATTTAGGAACCGCTCTGGCCCCTACTACTATGTATCCACAGCAACTCTCCCAATACTATCCCCAAGCTCTTGACCAAAATGGGTCTAGATATTGTCAAATGTCTCCTAACGAGTACAACAAGTGACTTCCATTAAGAACATTGCTGTATATGTACAAACACTGAGAGGAAAGCTAACTTTATCACTTAAACCAAAGAGAAACCAACTGTTTTAACCTCCAGATCAGTACTGCTTATGCTAGAACACAATCCTTTCTTATAGCTAGATAAAGCATTTGTCTAAAAGGTCTGACTCTGAGAACTGTACTCTATTTCATTACATACAACTGCATCATTGACTTCTAAATTATTCCACATCTCTATGACAACCTTTAAAAAATTAATAGGATAGAAATATGTGTAAGAAAACTGAATCAAAAGAGAAGAAATGTAAATAATTAAATTATTTTTAAAAGGATTCTATATATTAATGATGAACATCACATTTAAAAAATTATCTAGTATAACGTTTCTTTGAAAAATATGGCCATCTGTAACAAGTCTTTCAATGTTGCATGTACCTTGTAAAATTAACTTCACCAGTGTTGGGTAATTATGAAAATTATGATGGATTATTGTATCTGTAGAAGTGTGTTTAGCCTTCCATTGTAAGTGTATTATTCTAGGCCAATGAAAGCCTTTACCTTACAAGTCTGTGTAAAAACAAATCAAATTGGTGTTACATGAAAGCTTCATATTCTGTTAAGATTCCTTCAGAGAGTTGATGCGTGCACAGATCTTCAGGGCAGGGCCCAGCTTAATATTCATTGCACTCATGAGATGGTCTTCTTTGAGCAAGAGAAGGGCCTGTCCATCGATCTCTTGTGCTCTGAATTCATCTGCAATATCCTGGCAGCCTGGAATGTGATCAGAGAAAGGAAATTAGAATAAATATACAACAACTAGACTTTACTCCTAGCAATCCCAATTAATTTTAATGCACTCAGTGGGTCTCAATACAGGCTGAAAAGCTCACAGAATTTACTTATAATGGTCTGGGTTCACCCTTGAAGAAGAGAGTATTTGTTAATATTCTCAAATAGGAATTCAAAGTCTAGGTAAAGAAATTTACTTGGAAATCTTGTTATAAAAATAATATAGCTGGCCAGTTGCTGGTGACTCATGCCTCTAATCCTAGCTTACTCAGGAGGCTGAGATCTGAGAATAGTGGTTTGGAAGCAGACGAGGTAGGAAATTGTGAAATTGTTATCTCCCATTAACTCCAAAATACCAGAAGTGGAGCTATGGTTCAAAGTGGTAGAGTGCTAGACTTGAACAAAAAAAAATCAGGAACAGTACCCAGGGCCACAGTTCAAGCTCCACAATCATCTAATAATAATACTGGTAGCAGTAGTGGTAATAGTAGTAACAGTGATAATTTCACCAGGTACCAGTGGCTCCAACTTGTAATTCTATCTATTCAGGAGGCTGAGATCTGAGGATCACCGTTCAAAGCTAGCCCAGTCAGGAAATTTCATGAAACCTTTATCTCCAATTAATTTTAACTACAAAAAAGCCAGAAGTGAAGCTATAGCTCAAATGGAACAACACTAGCCTTACATAAAACAGCTCAGGGACATCACCTGGGCCTGAGTTCAAGCCCCAGGACTGTCACAAAAACAAACAAAATAAAATAAAAGTCAACAATTAGTGGGGGTAAAAATGTACAGAGTGGCCAGGCACCCCCTGTAATCCTCACTACAGGAGCAGAGTTGTGAGGATGAAAGTTTGAAGAAACTGGGAGACAGCCCCCAAGCCTCAAGTTCAAGCCCCAGGACTGACACCAAAAATATTTTAAAAAGTACAGAGTGGACAAAGTAGTAGAGCACTAGCCATGAGCTGAATAGTTGAGGGACAGTGCCCAGGCCCAGAGTTCAAACCCATGACCAAAAAAAAAAATTTTTTTAAAGGAAAAGAAAAAAATATATACTTAGTTTAAAAATATAGAGTGGAGTACCAGTGGCTCGCATCTACGATCCAGGCTACTCAGGAGGCTAAGATGCAGGAAACCCTGGTTTGAAGCCAACCTGGAGAAGAAAGTCCCTGAGACTCTTATCTCCAATTAACCACCAAAAAGGCTGGAAGGGAGTTGTGACTCAAGTGATAAGAGCTCTAGCCTTGAGCAAAAAAGCTCAAGTACAGCATCCAGGCCCTAAGTTTAAGCCCCAGAACATGAACGAACACACACACACACACACACACACACACACACACAGACACAGTGATCTATGACATCATGCCACACACACAAATCATGAACTTATCTTTATGTAGTATCTTCTTCACACATAGGTTCAAAGACAAATGAAACAGCATGTTTTGTCAAATAAATTATTTTCTCCAGTATCAAGATTTCTACTTTCATCATTTATACTTTGTTCTGATTTATAAATTTTGCTGCCAAGTACAGCTAAGAGGTTCTGGGCAATAAAATTTTTCATTGTTTACTGTTGACTTAAGACAGAACTCAAGACCACGGTATCAATACACATATAATGCTACTCAATGTACAATCAACTCCAAATTTTAGTATCATTCAACATAGCTTTTTCCCCCTTTTCTTGGTGCTGGCCCTGTGGCTTGAACTCAGGGTTTAGAACTATCCCTTAGCTCTTCTGCTCAAGGCTATGGATCACTTTGAGCCACAGCTCTACTTCCTGCTTTTTTGGTGGTTAACTGGAAATAAAGAGAGTCTCACAGACTCTTTCCTGGGCTGGCTTCAAACCGCAATCCTCAGATCTCAGTCTCCTGAGTAGTTAGCATTATAGGTATGAGTCACTCGTACCTGGCTTTTTGTTTGGTTTTTAAAACAGGATCCTGCTACACAGCCCAGGCTGGTCTTGAAGTTACAATCCTCCGGTCTCAGCCTTGCACAGGCTAGTACAGGCATACAACACACCCACTTCACTTATGATAACAAATTCTCATTGAAAGTATAAGCTTGTAGGCTAATGTGTCAAACAAGTATTTTAGCTTGCAGGTACATCAGCAGGTAACAATGCTAGTATCTACATAAATGTCTTTACTGTCTACCAGAAATTCTGCACATCCAAGTTACCAGTAACTTCCCCATAAAGGCACAGAAACCAGTAGGTCAGGGGTAATGAATGAATCAGGGAGAGAAAGCAAAAACATTGCATAAACACAGTAAAACTATAAAATTAACATTAGTATAAAAACTAGTCATTTTAATGTCTTTTACTCAAACCAGTATTCTATGGAAAATCAACACACACACACATACAAAATGATGAGAAATGGAAATGTGGTTGCATTATTCCTTTAGATATCATGCTACTACAAATGTATCATCACCGTGTTTATATTAAGATAAAGCCTTCCTTGTAAGCCCAGCCCAAACACAGATATTGCATAGGCATAAAGGTCGGAATAACTAATTAAATTATAAAGGACAAAATATAATATACCACAAAAGAGCTTTCTGTAAGAGTAACACATATTCTCCTGTGTAACACCTGCTCTCTTGGCTACTTTATTCCCAAGTCCTGTGTTAGTATACATCTACTATTTCCTACTTGCACCCAGGTTTTCAATTTATCTGATAAGTTTTAAATTGACATTTCAAAATCCTCAACAGTGTAAACTTTTATGTTTTTTTTCCCCCAATTACCATCTATGAATCTAACATGAAATGGGATTACTCACCATAGAAAAGCCCCTTTTCTTTTCCTAGAGGTAGCTCTCAACAAAACTGGGCAGACAAAACTGACTAATCTTGCATCTAGTTGTGACTTCCTCCTTCTTTTACTGAAAGAACTAATGTTCTTCTCTCTTCAGTCTTACAAGGACACAGGGAAGGAAGGAAGGAAGGAAGGAAGAGAGAGAACAGGATAGGGTTTACTTAGATTCAGAGAACAAAAGTAAGAGGAAATAAGGACCATAAGAACTACATTTGGGGATAGAAAGTTCTTCATCAAGAAGAGATATATGCACATGTGTGTATGTATGTATGTGTATAGAACATATTCTCTTCTGTACTGTGACTCCTCCTCAGAAGTCTTCTAAAAGGTGAAGAGTAAAAGTATTGGCAAATAATACAAAAAGTATACCAGGAAACAGCATGACTAAGAATACATTATCTTCAAAGGTTTAGATCACCAGAAAAAAGGATAGGTACAAGCCGGGCGCTGGTGGCTCACACCCGTAGTCCTAGCTACTGAGGAGGCTGAGATCTGAGGACCACAGTTCAAAGCCAGCCCAGGCAGGAAAGTCCGTGAGACTCTTATCTCCAATAAACGACTAGAAAACCGGAAGTGGCGCTGTGGCTCAAGTGGTAGAGTGCTTGCCTTGAGTTGAAGAGCGCAAGGACAGGCCCAAGCCCAGAGTTCAAAACCCACAACCAACCAAAACAAAACAACAAAAAAAAAAGTATAGGTACATTAGTACGGAGATGAAATATAAAATAACTTTTAAAAAGTGGGGTGGGGGCTGGAAAGGTGGCTCAGTGGTAGAGTGCTTTCCTTGCATGCATGAGGCCCTGGGTTCAATTCCTCAGCACCACATAAACAGAAAAAGCTGGAAGTGGCGTTGTGGCTCAAGCGGTAGAACGCTCACCTTGAGCTGAAGAGCTGAGGGACAGTGCCTAGGCCCAGAGTTCAGGTCCACGACCAGCAAAAAAAAAAAAAAAAAAAGGGGGGGGGGGGGAGGCAGAAGCAAGGATGATTCTAGAAACTCACTGGAGAAAAAACTGTTTTTTAAAAGTCAAAGTACTCAAGGTAAACTGAGGTGAAGTTCTGTGACTTCCTGATATTAGCATCTATATCTATGAAATGCTTGGTGCCCAACAGTGTATTCAAAACACACATCACCAAAGCAATTAGTCAACTCAGTTGACCTAATACCAGAACCAAAGATCAGTTCTCACGATGGGCTGGGTCCCTAGTAAACTTTCTAGTGTCCACAGTCATTTCTCCAGAAAAGTCCAGGCAAAAAAAAAAAAAAGCCCCACATAAAAACTGACCTCAGCAAAGTTATTGAAAAGGCATCTTATAACTCAATAGTATAGAATAAACTACCAAATCTAGTATTACAAAAAAAATAATAATATTCAGACTTACAAGAAATGAGCTGGGGGTGTGGTTCAAGTGGCAGAGTTCTTGCCTTGTAGGCACAAATCCCAGTGCCACAAAAAAATAAAGATGAAATTGTTTCCACTTTATATAAATCTATCTATCTATCTATCTATTTAAATACCAAATGTGGATTCATAAGATTATAGATACTAAACTGATCTTTGCAAAAGGCAGTTACCATATCAAGGTAGATAAACAGCATTAATTGAAAATAAGATTGCTCATACAGAGAACTTTCAGTGCACAAGTGATCTATCTATCTATCTATCTATCTATCTATCTATCTATCTTAATCTATATTTCCCCTCCCCTCCCCATAACAACTCAGATATTGGTGGGCCATATACAAGGTCTAACATAATCCCAACAGGATGGTTAATAAGATGACATACAAAGAAAACAGAAAACCTCAGGGGTACCCTGATTAGAAAGGGAAGATATTCCATGCTAACTTACAAGAAAATACAAAAGAGATTAGGAAATTTGTAAGCTTTTCTCAAACTATGAAAAAATCTTGGTAGAAGACTGAACTCAAGGAAAGCAAACCTGAGTGAGCCACAAGAGGCTCAGAAGGATATTTGAACAAGTCACAGAAGCAGAGACAAAGATAAAGATTTACTTTAAGATACAAGGCATTACGCAGAGAAAAACTTTGAGAAAGGCAATGTAACTGAACATAAAAATAAGCTTATTATTTGGCCTGCCAAAGCAATTTGAAAATATTTCCATTATAGCAAAAAAGAAAAAGTTATTCTGACTATAAAATAGTATAGACTGCAAACTATGACTTTTTATAATAGTATGTGATATTCTCTGAACAACTTACAACAAAATTAAGTATCTTAACTCATTAAAACAAGAATGTCAAGCGTATGAACAAAAAATTGAGGGTTTTTGTTTTGTTTTTTAACTCAAAGGAAGAATGAGACATGGGAGTTACCCTTTGTTCTTATAAAGTAGCAAGATTAGTCACAGGACAAGTGGATTCTAGTGAAAATTATTTCTAAAAGCCCATAGGGAGTGAGAGAAGAACCAACAGTATCTAATTCCTTGGTATAGAAAACAACTCTTATAGGAAAAGAAATATTTCCCCTCAACATGAACTCGTTTATAAACAGATAGATGGCTGCCCAACATGGTGAAGTGATTGCTGAAGAAAAGAGAGTTCACATCCAGCACCTCAGAATCAGTTTTGGACTCCAATTTTAATTTGGAAGATAACTATACTAGTTAAAATTTTTAAATATTGAAAACCCAAACCAATGAAGACTCAACATCTCTACTACATTAAGTTTTAAACAGATTCTAAACCCCCATGGGTCAGCAATTAACTCTGAACTTGTCTTTGGTGTATACTTAAAAATCTACATATGAGCAAAGGGTATGTCCTCTAAACAAGTTCATTTAACTTTAAAAGTGACTATACCTTGTTTCAAAGACATTGGTATAATAATTCAATAAAATTTTAGAACTGTTTATGAGGTAAACTGAATGGCAGTTTTACAAAACTAGCATTTCTAAATATATTTTCTTGTAAAACACATGAGCTCTAAGTTTGCTTCTGACACCTTGGTCACTTTCACAAGAAAGATATTAACAATGGGCAGATGATTACCTTAATTTCTACAAAGCCTGCCTGATAACTCAAATGAGATACATTCTTATGAATCAAGAGAAACTATATGATTCATAATAAAATCTAAAGGGAATCCATTTTTAAACTCCCATTTTCCAGATCCATAAGATCAAAGTGAGTATGTTTACAAGTTTAAAAGAAACTAAGTCTTAACACATATAATCAGCGTGGGTCTCCTCACAAGTGAAGGTACAACTGACTCTAGTTACCAGCCCCTGGGAAAAAGTAGACAGAAAGATTATTGTTGCTTTAAAAGAAAAAGGAGGCTTTAAGTTGATGGAAAGAGTATCACAATGAGAGAACTGGAAAATAAAAAGAAAGCTTCAGAATGAACATAATTGAATTTCAGCTGATAACTTGAAAAAAATTTCAGATGTGCTTTGATGTTTATCTACTGCAAAGAAACAAGGAATACAACTTCCTTTCAAAGAATCAACTTGATTTTTTTAAGGAAAAACCAATATCTTACCATATTCTATAGTCTTGATTAGCTTTCAGAAATGAAAAATAAAAACGAAAAACCTCAGTCTCTCTTAGGTAAAAAATGGTTAAATTAGGGAACAGGAAATAGGATAGAAAAACAGAAGAGAAGAAGAGAAGTGGTGTCTGATTCAATCTCTCTACTGACCTCTCGAGAGAAATCAGACTGAGGAGAAGAGAGCACCTTAATATTTCTTCACCGGCTGGGTGTCACAGCAGAAGCAGGACTAGTCAGTTTTTATCGACTTGGGAGGGTATGAAAAAATACCCAGTTGTGCTGAGGGAATAAGGAAGAGGAAACAGATCACATTTCAATAGCAAATGCCATTTCAGTTATACATGTACACAGAACTGCTCTAGCCATTTTGTGAAAAGTGTGGATGAGTCTACATCATTCCCAACTATACATGCAAAAGAAAACCTAAGGCAAAGTGGTGAATTACATACCCGGTAAAGAATGGATGAAGGCCCAGACATCATCAACTGTCCATATAGAGGGCTCTGTCTGTGCAACTGGTAACAAGTCACTGTTCTCAGGCATTTTCCTAATTCTTACATCTCGAAGCTCACGCTCTCTTTCCCGCTCACTCTGCCTGCGCAGACGAGTTGTCATAGCAGATGGCACAGAATCTTCATGAGAAGCCAAGTCTTCTTCTGCAGATGGATAAGTAATTGGAAGCTGGAAAATGTAGTACAAGTAAAATACAGCATTGCATTTTCCTTGCATTTCTAAAAAGGATATTATACACTGAACAAAGTTTCTACAGACCTGCCTAAGGATATGTTCTCTTGCTGCCCCTTCAGGGCCACTTGGACGGCGGCCACGGTGCCCAAGACTCTGATTATCAGGCTTACGATTCCAACGACTAAGGGCAAATTTTTTAGAACAGCTAACATTGTACCTAAGAGATTAAAGTAAAGGGGGAAAAATGTAAGGATTACATAACATACTGTATTTCATTATACCTTGAAAGTACAATTGTGAATCATTAAGTTATTAATAATACCTTAGTAAGTAAATCCACATTGTTCAAGGGACTTGTTTATGGTAGAGGTCAAACAATGGCTTCTATCATAATGTCTTTTTTTTTTCTTTTTGGTCCTAGTTCTAGGGGGCTTGAACTCAGGGCCTGGGCACTTTCCCTGAGTTTTTATTCCCCCCATCAAGGCCATTACTCGACCACTTAGCCACAGATCCAAAAAGCTTTTTTGTAGTTAATTGGAATCTCACGGACTTTCCTGTCTTAGCTGGCTTCAAATTGTGACTCTCAGATCTCTCAGCCTCCTGAGTAGCTAGGATTATAGAGGTAAGCCACCAGCACCCAGTCATAATGTCTTTTAAATACTGAGCATCCAAAAAAAAATACTGAGCATCTATAAAAATGGATTGATATTTTCTCACTATGCATGGAAGTAAGAAATTTTCCTCAAAATACAGAAAGTAATTTTGGGGGGGGCGGGGGGGTCAGTTGTGGGGCCTGATCTCAGCCTGGCCGCTGTCCCTCAGCTCTTAAGGCTAGCACTCTACTACTTGAGCCAGAGCACTACTTCCGGCTTTTTCTGCTTATGTGGTACTGAGGAATCGAACCCAGGGCTTCATGCATGCAAGGCAAACACTGAGCCACCTTCCCAGCCCCAGAGTAATCTTAATAGGAGCAAACACAAGGTTCTAGGAGGAACAATTCTGTAATACTTAGAATGTATATTCAAACTGATATTTTCTCAAGTAATTTCTGAAGAGGTTGTATTTTGATCTCTTCAGAGATCAATATAATATGCAGCTCAAGCAGTTAGTAAAATATTTTAGAATATTATTAAATCAAAAAGTGATGTACATATCACCTGATGTGGAAGAAATAACTGTACTGTCAAAGCTCACAGAATTCATAAACTTTATAGACCACAGTAAAGACAATTTGCCCATAAAGGTTAGAATGTGTTTGTGACTTTAAGTATCACTATCTCACAATACTGTGAAATTTATGTAATCACTTAATTACAATAAAAAATTTGCTATAAAAAAGTGAAAATATAAAGTTGGAATTCCAAAGTTATATAATAAATTCATTGTGCCTAATCTTCTGGAAGTTTGGAACTACATATTTCTTTAAAATTGGCTTAAGGATTTTTTTTAAAATATATATCTTTGTTGAGACAACTTAGGAGTTCTATGCCATCAAGCGGCTTTATAGTCTAGACCACAGTCTCGCTAACTGATGCTATGAGGAGCCAGAGAGTAAATATTTAGGTATTACAGGTCATACAAGTGTTTGTCACAAACACTCAACTCTTACAATAGAATGTACACAGCCACTGAAAATACTGAGCATGTACAACCATGTTCCAGTGAAATTGTTAGTATTTTTAAACTAAACACTGAAGGTTCATGCAAAAGTGAAGCTGCAGGACTCAGCCTTCCCTAGAAAGAAGTGTGAGAGAAAATCGTCTAACAAAATTATATGCAGGTTTTTTTTTACACATATGAAATTGACTCTACAAGTTATTATTTTCAAAACTCTCATGCTCCAAGAAAATTACAAGGAAAAAAATCCTAGTTAACAGTGCTATCAATAACTTTCTAGGATCAATAACAAAAATAATTTTCCTCAACTATTTTTCCCCAACAAATATAAAAGTGTCCTGATGGCCACTTCATATTACCATAAAATAATTCAAAAAGCTCTTGTTGTGTTCATTATACATGCATAAAGCTCAACAATGTAAGTTTTTGGTTCCTAATTTTATTTCCTGGTGAAACCTGCATTTTTTTTTTTTTTAATTTTTAGAACCACTCAGCTTGTTTTGCTCACAGATGGCACTCTACCACTTAGTCACAATTCCAGATAGTGTTTCTGGTAGCTCACTGGAGATGAAATCTCATGGACTTTTCTGTTCCAGCTGGCCTCACACTATGCTCCTCCAGGCTCCAGTTGTCAAGAGTAGCCAGGATTACAAATGTCAACCTTACTACTGATAAAGGATCACAGAAGGTATTTGTATTTCGTATTTAGCTTGCCAAGACTGACAGCTAAGCAGACATGTAAGCAGCTGCAGTGTTGTCTTCCTCTCTTCCTTGTTCTTTCATCTATATTTCCCTGTGTTAGATCCCCTAGCCCTCTAAAGAGATTTATTTAAGGGTACAATACCACGTAATAATCATCTCTGGGGAAAGCATTTGTCACATTAAATATTCTGAAATATTTCTAAATAGTATGGATAGAATTACCCAAAGCACAGGGGGGAAAAAGGAACATTTTAAATTTGTACAGGGCCATGCTCATCTTCTATGTATTGTTCTAGTTTTAGTATATGTGTTGCCAATACAAGTACCCAATATACCCTGGGCAAATTTTAATTTAAAATCTTTATTTTATGGTCATATTTATTTTACTGTCATCTCATACTTTATTTTCCCATATAACAAATAACCATTGTTATCTTAAAAGGACCTGAGAAGAGAGAACTCATCTGGATAGGCAGATTCTTTCAGATAACAGCTAAGCTGATTTAACCAGCTTTGAAAAAATTTAAAACCCTGATCATTTAGTTAACCCAGAATAAATCAGAGTTTATGAGCCTGTTTACGAGGTAAACAAACTATTCTGAGAAATAACAAGCTGAATGTTAGAAAAAGGCAAATATGGAAAAAATGGTTTAATTATCTGAGAAATAAAAGTTCTCAGATTTCAAGACATACAAATGCCAGGCACTGTGGCTCACCTACAGGAGGCTGATATCTGAGGATCACAGTTCAAAGCCAGCCTAGGCAGGGAAGTGAGACTCTGATCTCCAATAAACAACCAGAAAACCAATGTGGTGCTGTGGCTCAAGTGGTAGAGCACTTGCCTTGAGTTGTAGAGTTCAGGGACAGCGCCCAGGCCCAGAGTTTAAGCCCCACACAACAAAAAAGATACAAATTTTTAAGTATACAAGTTTCAAAACCCCAATAGGAAAAATCTTGATAAGTATAAATCAGAACTCTGATCCTATTATGATTGGTAGAAAACCAACATCCTGATATGAAAGATTGGGTCATCTCTTGAAGTGTCATTTAATGTAATATCCCTTTTCTCAAAACCCATATTGCATAAAATGAAATCCAAAATCTTATTTTGCCTTTCCAAGTCATTTTAAAAATATGGGCATATTCAATCATTCCAAGACGTTTCCCATTATTTAAGGACTCCTGTGTGCACAAATGACTAGTGAAAGAAGGCTAGCTTTTGAGTTACTTACATCTTTTTCAGTCCCTAAACCTAAAAACTTCTCTTATAGAAGTAATAGTCCTGAAAAATAAATGAGTGCATCTTTTTTTTTTTTTTTTTTGCCCATCCTAGGGCTTGAACTCAGGACCTGGGCACTGTTCGTGAGCTTCTTTTGCCCAAGGCTAGCACTCTACCACTTGAGCCACAGTGCTACTTCCAGCTTTTCCTGTTTTTATGGTACTGAGGAATCAAACCCACGGCTTCATGTGTGCTAGGCAAGCCATAGTCCCAGCCCCTAAATACATCATTTTTAAAGATTAAAAAAAGAAATACCTTTTGGCACATGACATAGTACAGAATCTTTTTGATCTCAAAAATTCATTAGCATATCCCATTTTCCCACAGAATTCGCACTTGAGCAGCTCACTGTCCATTTCTTCTAATGTCTCTAAAAACAAAAAAACAAAAACAAAAAAAACAGGGAAAAGTTCCAAAAATGTAATTGTGGACATTTTTCTTTCAGTTTCTGTTTTGATTTGATGCTGTCACCAGGCCAATGATCCTTTAACTTTTCAACCCAAGGCTATTCTGACAGGGCAAAGGCAACCAACCACCTCCATAAAGTCCCTCTTGCTTCTTCATAGTATTAGATGGGTTTTGTTCCCATATAAATAATATTTTTAAAGGTTCATTTTTTGCTGAGAATCCAGTATGTCTTACTTGTACTGTGAGACATTAAGGTGAGTAACTCACAATCACTACCCTCTAGAAAGAACATTTTCAAAATGCACAATGTGGGAAATAAGGCAGAAAAGCCTTTAATTGAGGAGAATGAAGATGACTTCAAAATGTCAAATTCTGATGTCTCCAAGGACTAAATATATAAAGGTATATATATATATATAATCATAAAATGGTTCCTTTTAGTTAGATCAAAATTGTTTTATAATTTCCCAAATTGTTTTATAATTTCCAGTTGCTGATGCCTTTTTCAGGGTGGTCTCTATTAAGTCAGAATATCCATATCCTATCCATATCCTACCATTTGAGGTCAGGGCAAGTTCTTCTGCAGGCCACCATCTCAGAGGCAAACTACACTAGACACTGAGCAGCAGTCATCCATTAGAAAACAACCCAATCACCCACAGTTTTGTCATCTATAAATAGGGGGGTTTATAATACCTTTCTCAAAGAACTGAAATAAAAATAATAAACCAGTGACAATCCCATTTCCTTTTTTTTTTTTTGGTCGGTTGTGGGGCTTGATCACTAGCTTGGGCGCTGTCCCTGCACTCTTCAGCTCAAGGTGAGCACTCTACTGCTTGAGCCACAGCGCCACTTCTGGCTTTCTAGTGGTTTATTGGAGGTAAGAGTCTCACGGACTTTCCTGCCCGGGCTGGCTTTGAACCGAGATCCTCAGATCTCAGCTTCCTGAGTAGCTAGGATTACAGGCGTGAGCCACCAGCACCCAGCTCCATTCTCATTTTCTATATAAGAACTAAGAGTATTAAAAGATAATTAAAAGATATATTTGTGAATTCAGTGAAACCTAGAAAATTCTTAAATCCGCCATGTTGTGCCATTTTCTCACATCATTATAATTTCAACACTACCACATACAAAAACACCCCACTAAGACTTAGCTGTGAGCACCGTATGTGCACTTTCTATATTATCCACTAAACAAAGACTTGGAAGATGAAGACAACTGGGAAAAGTAGAAAAAGATGCCATGTGCTCAGTAAATTCATGCACCTATGTCATCCCAATTTTACTGGAGAAGTAGACAGAGAACAATTACCAAAACACGTAAAGTAGTATTTCACGTAATGAAATCATGAACTAATATGCATTCCCTGTCCTAGGGAGTGTCCTAGGAGGAAGCATCCCAATTCCCAGACTATAAGCACGTTGTATTTTTGTTATGCTTCAACATCATCTGTCCTTGAAAAGCCTAAACCAGAGACAGAACCTCTCAACCACTATTGCCACTAACACAGCCCTGAAGAATTCATTCCTCAAGGTGTTTCAAGAACAAGCTATACTAAAAGTTTTCCTTCAAAGATAATGATTTATTGATTGTGCCAGTCCTAGGGCTTAAATTCTGGGCTCTGTCCTGAGCCTCTTTTGCTAAAGGCTAGTAGTTCTCTACCATTTTGAGTCACAGTGCCACTTCCAGCTCTTTTGGTACTTAATTGGAAATAAGAGACTCTTGTAGACTTTCCTGCCCAGCCTGACTCTGAACTAAGATCCTTAGATCTCAGCTTCCAAGTAGCCAGGATTACAGGTGTGAGCCATGGGCACTGGGTTCAAAGACTTTTATCAGTTAATGTAACAATGTAGAATATTTTGATAATAGATCAGAATATCTGTTGAGAAGAAATTATTTTTTTGCTTGTGAGAGATGAAAGATACTAAATAGATATGGCTTAAGAGTAACAAATTGCCAGATGGTGGGTGGTGGTAGTTCAGGACTGTAATCCTAGTTATACAGGAAGTTGAGATCTGAGGACCACAGTTCAAAGCCATCCTGGGCAGGAAAGTCCATAAAACTCTTCAATTAGCCACCAAAAAGCTAAAAATGGAACTGTGGCTCAAGTAGTAGAGTGCCTGAGATTAAGCCCAGCACCAGCTCCCACAGAAAAAAGATGAACAAATCAACCAAAGTACAATAGTAGTTTTATTCTTCATAAAGAAAGAATAAGCTGGACACTTATAATCCTAGCTACTCAGGATGTGGTCCAAAGCCAGCCTGGGCAGGCAAGTCCGTGAGACTCTTATCTCCAATAAACTACCAGAAAACCCGGTGGCGCTGTGGCTCAAGTGGTAGAACACTCACCTTGAGCTGAAGAGCTGAGCTCAGGGACAGAGCCCAGGCCGAGTTCAAGCCCCATGAATAACAAAAAAAGGAGGAATACTAAGCTTTTAAAGATTTCTATTGTATTTTTAACACATCTAGTAATGCTCCCAATGCTGCTTTTCATATTTATTTGTGAACTAAAAAAGTAGCAGAACCAAATAAATCTTTACAAGTGTTGACATAGCTAATCAGATTCGGATTACATAGTAAACCCCCCTGATAATTCTCTAGTATCCATTTCTTTACTTTTTCCCCAGCAATAAAGAGCTTGGCACAAGGCTATGTGTAGGATAAAAGCTAGCATCTGCCCTATGTGTAGCTGATTTCCAAATAATGCCTTTCCTTGTCAGCCATACTAGAAATGAGGACACTATTCTAGGGACGGGAGACAGACATTGGAGCTACCAGGCCCACTACCACTATGTCAGAGAAACTTAACCCATCTTATAATCCAGTTATCATTCTGCATCTCTAGAGGAGTAGCCAAACCTACATCCTAATTAATGCAAGTCTCCACTTACTTTGTGAGAAACTACTTTTTACTTTCTCCAAAGACTTGAAATCACACACTATTTAGCAGCAAAGTGCAGCAATAAGAAGGAAACCATCATCAATATGACTTACCAGGGAAACAAAGCTACTGTTTGAGAATGCTGGTCACAGAAACAGCCAAATAAACCACATTTTACACTTTAAAAAGAGAACCATCCTTACCATGAAGCTTAGTATCTAAAAATGCTGAATATCTTTAATGTTGAAACTATGCAAGTACTGACTGTAACGAGTACAGGCCTCTGACTGACTTCCTCATTTAACCCTACAGTATTTCCCATAAACACTGGAGAACAGCCTGGTGCCGGTGGCTCACACCTGTAATCCTAGCTACTCAGGAGGCTGAGATCTGAGGATCGAGGTTCAAAGGCAGCCAGGGTAGGAAATGTCCATGAGACTCTTATCTCCAATAAGCTATCAGAAAACTGGAAGTGGCGCTGTGGCTCAAGTGGTAGAATGCTGATCTTGAGCTGAAGAGCTGAGAGACAGCG